AGTGCCGTCGATTGATATGGCCGTGTTCTTCTAATGGCTGTTGCGTGCGTAGGTTCATGAATAGTCGAACGCCTTTTGTGATGATTGTTCGAGGCGTAATGAAGTCGCAATGTGGTGCGGTCCCAGCATGAAAAACAACTGCAGAACACAGCTGCTTGATCAAAACGTGTAAGCAAATTGAGCATAGCGTACTGGCGCCCAAACTCTTCACGACATCTATAACTCAAGAGCTGTCATGCCTGCTCTTCCCAGACGTTAGCAGTGATCTTCTGATGCAACTTCTCGAAGTTATCGTATTCCTCAACGGATTACGGGAATCAACAGGCATTCTTCAAAAGTAGGCCTGACAGCCTAAGGAGGTCTGGCCTTCACATGAAAATGACGAGGCTTTAGAAGGACCCTGCCAGGCCGCAAAATATAACAAGCCTATCAGAGCTCCTTGAACTCTGGATGCACTCTCCTTCATCAGGACCCAAACTTGTTTCTTGGAGTCACGCCGTCCTTCTTTGGAGAGCGGATATGAACGATTCAACGGAGGCATGCGAGCTGAAATTTGCATTCTTTCAATAATCATACATATCAGGAGTCACATGTATTCCTCTTTCAATTCAAATCACTTGTCAAGGAATGCACCTCGTCAACTTGGCAGCTCCCTGAATTGCTCAGGATGCGCGTGGATTTCTTTTGAGAACATCACAGGACCATTACAACATCTCGGATGTGCCTGGCAATCATGCAGGTCCAATAAGATCCCGGAAGCACCCGCATTTTCACACTCCCTGGCTGTTGCAAGGAATCAGAATGCCAAGCATGCCGCTGACATGGAAACTCCTTGGACAAGCAAGCAAGCTCTACATGCTGCGCACACTTGGTGACTTCGGGGAGCTTCTCAGAAGTGTGGCGATCGCGCGAATCCGTAGGATATTTCTAGCGAACAATCCTTTGGCATTCCGAGTGTGTTCCTAGGGAAGGTCAGTGGACGCCCTTGTTACAGTCTCTCCAACAACCATATGGGTGTTTCCGAAATTGAGGGGTGCCTTAGTGACCTTAGTGGGGTCCTGATTAGGGAACCCTACTATTTGGGGACTATATTCGGGCCCCCTGTTCTCGGAAACCCCCATATAGAATCATTCTTACGGAACGGCAAAGCTGCAGGTGTTTATCCTGTTCTGCTATGGGGGGAAAAGCAGGACATGAAAGCTCCTCGTCTGCTCTCTGATAATGTTTAGGGTGACCGTGGCTCAGACGACACCTTCTGCTTTTTGCTGGGAAGACTTGTGATTCAAGGACTCTGCTTCCTCGGCAAGTGTAGAAGTGGGGTCTCATCTGGGAAACCGAAGCAAAATAGAACGTCCTGAATGTTTTCCCAAGATGCGTTTAATCTTAACACGGAAGGGAATCAGTTCTTGTTCCTCTTATGCACCATTCTTGGAATTTGAGGCGAAGTATCTAAAGGGCACTCTTTTCGACGTCAGTAGAGTCACATTCGATCTTGTGTTGTGTAAGTCCCCTTCTCCCCTGCAACCCTGCTATACAACACACTAAAAGTCATCCCATCTGCACCGGAGATCTTGAACTTCTCATCAACACAGAGTTGGGGTTCCCAATGATTCCACGTGGAATAAGTCTCTTCTTCGGACCCTCCGTATCAAAGCCGAGGGCCTCCAGTTTGCATCAAGTTGCAGTAAACGTTCACGTCCAAGTATGCTTGCTGAGAGCATGTCTGGGGCCATGTTATTTGCAGGTACGTGAAGAAAGAAAGAGTGACCAGCTGCCACGAGTTTCTGATTTCACACAACTCTGGAGTACATGCCTTATCAGCTCGGATCAAGTTGTTGTGGACTTAGGTGAGATTTTGTACCCCCTGAGGCCATGGGGGTGTGGGAGTCATGCAAGCCCTTTGTGACTGGCAGCTTGTCAGGGTCCATAGCGGGCACCATCGTCCAGCCCATTGACATCGTAGCTTAGGGATTCTTGGGAATCATTTTTTCATTTTTAGGTACTATCATCCCTAAGAAACAGCTCTAAAAATTATCATTTTTTGCTAGGGTTCCAAGATCAGTATAGGTAAAGGTGCGAATCCAACTCGCAGCTGCGGAAGGCGGAAACACGAGCGTCGTTCACGTGGCGCAGACGTTGCTGAGGCAAGATGGCCCGGCCGGCTTCTTCCAGGGGATCACGGCCATGTACGCAAGACAGGTGCTCTACACGGGCTCGCGCCTGGGCCTGTATGACCAGTTCACCGCCATGGCGAGCAGTCCAGGCGAGGCAACTCTGCCCTTCTGGAAGACCTCCCTCTGCGCGCTGAGTGCTGGTGGAATTGCGGCTGTCATCGGGAATCCTGCGGATCTGTCGCTAGTGCGCATGCAGGCTGACAACCTGCTGCCTGAAGCGCAGCGTCGCAACTACAAGCATGTTCTGGATGCCTTCACCACAATAGCCGCTTGCCGTGGGTTTTATATCGCATATAAAGTTCTGTAGCTTCCTTTGTCCGAGGAAACGTCTTTATTCTTACATGGCTGAGTAGGGCAAGTGGCATCTAGGTTGATGTTTTTTGGTAGAGGCCCTAACACCCTAAACCCTAAACCCTAAACCCTAAACCCTAAACCCTAAACCCTAAACCCTAAACCTTAAACCCTAAACCCCTACCTGACATTAAGGTGAAGCAGGAAGGAGCCCAAGGCCTCCTCCAAGGCGCCCCAGCCACCGCCTGCCGCGCCATGGCTCTGAATTTTGGGATGCTGGCCTTCAACTCCAAGGCCATGGGCTCGTTTAGGGTTTGGGGTGACGCCCCCCCCTCGAAACCTACCCCCCCTAGGTTCGCCCTTAAACAGTCTCAATTGGGCTGAATAACTCCCTACATAATGTGAATTATGGGGCGTAATATGGAGGGGGGGGGGGGGTCGGAACCCCTGAGAAGGCCAAGGATCAGCTCGCAGCCATGGGCTTCGAGAAGGGCGGGAACGTGCAAGTCTTCGGCGCAGCGCTGGCCGGGGGCTTCTTCGGCTCGGTCTTCTCTTTGCCCTTTGACTTCGTGAAGACGCAGCTCCAGAAGATGAAGCCAGACCCAGCCACTGGGGAGATGCCCTTCAAGGGGCCCGCGGACTGTGCTTGGAAGACCCTGCGTGCCAGCCCGCTTCGGTTCTACTCAGGCTTCCCGGTGTACTTTGCCCGCACGGGGCCCGTTTCCACCATCACGCTCATAGCTCAAGACCGCATCAAGAAACTGTGGGCTGCCCTTGACCTGTGACGCGAAATCGCAGCACGTCAGAGTCAGGGCATTTTTCGTCCGAGCTTCCCAATTTTTGTTGGCTAAGCCAAACCACGGCACATACCAAGCTCGAAAGGTTTAGGGCTTAGGGTTCAGGGTTCAGGGTTTAGGGTTTAGGGTTTGAGATGCAAGACTGGGACGCCTCCGCGCTGGAGCATCCGGAAAAGCGGTCTCATCGTGGTTTCCAGAAAGATGCAGTTCAGCCAGTATGATGCATATGCGGACGTATCATCGGTGTTCGAGGGTGTGGGAGTTCATGTGTTCAATGAAGTTGTTCAGAAGAGACAAAGATGAGATCAGGCAAGCAAGGAAGCACACGATTGGCAACAGATACATCACAAATGATAATTTAATATACAATATTTTGAATTTTTGTATGATATAAACCATATAATCAATACCAGTGTGCAAAGCAATAATATTCCAGATAGTTTTAAGAAAAAGACCTGAGCCCTTGGTGTTGCAATGTGCCACCCTGGCACTCCCAGCAATGGGTTTCGGCTGTTCTTCTCCTTCTGCTGAGTTCCACCTGCAAGATCAAGGAGCTTGAGTTTGTTCCGGCAGTTCACCGCAGCTCCTAGCAAATCTGTCTTACAACAAGAATGAAAAAAAAGCCCAAATCCAAGATAACCTCGAGATGTCTAGAGTTTTTGGAATCAAAAGAAGAGAAGAAGCTTACAAACACCAGGTTCGCCGCCTTGCCGGCTTAGCCAGTGGTAGCTCTCTGCCTCCTTGCGCTCAACGAGGTTGCTTCTCGAAATTCTGTGTCTCGCAGACAGTCACTGCCGTAAGAACCCGCATTGTAGGAACCCGCCAATCAGCGGGGCCCATTTACTTCTGAGACCCTACTCCGGGACCTTTCCAAAAGCTACTTTCGCGCGGATGCATCATTCTAGAACCCAAGGACCGGCGAAGCCTGCAACAATGGGGGGTTTTGCTTGGTTTTAGGGTTTAGGGTTTAGGGTTTAGGGTTTAGGGTTTAGGGTTTAGGGGTTAACGGACAAACTGGTGGGTGGGATCATGCAAACTCTTCCGGCACTGGCCGTAGGACGGCTCTGAGTTGAGTTTACCCCTGCAAACTCCCGGGAAAGGGGCTTGTTTCGGAAAAGCCCGAAACCCTAAACCTTAAACCCAAAACCCTAAACCCTAAACCCTAAGCCCTAGGTAGCCTTCAACCTTTTTGGGATGGGAAAATATCACCTTATTATCCCAACGATTAACCTTCAGTCCCCCTAGGTACTGGACAACTACGCTGAAAAGGGAAAGTTTCCTGAAAACCCTGAGCGTCGCTTTGGTTTCCAGTTGAGGCTTCGACGCGGACGCCACATCGTAACGTCCGAGATCCGATGATAAGCCGGAGCAAACACCGACCCGATTCGAGATCCGGACTGTAGATTCGGATTCTAAGCCCTAAGCCCTGAACCCTAAACCCTCCCCCCCGACAAAAGTCGGTACGACAGGTTTGGGAGCTGTGTCTTTGGTTCAAGTGGACAGCCTTGTTTGAAGGTGTTTGGTAAGGGGCGAATGAATAGAGCATCTCGCGCAAGTGGGGGTTTACGAAAACAAGGGGCCCCTAAGCTAGACCCCCAATCTGTAGGATTCCCTTATAATAGGGACCCAAGTATGTTCGGAAGCCCCAAACCCTAAACCCAAAAACACTAAACCCTAAACCCTAAACCCCCCCCAAGTTTACCTACAGTAGACTCTAAGAGCTCGATCACGTGGCCCCATGGCTTTCATCCTTTCGGATTGTTTTGGCATCCGCATCAGTCACCGCGCCAGCAACATCATACGTTGGATAGCGGCAGGCTTGTTTGGAACCTTGACTCTGTGTCTGGTCTTCCTCAACCGCTACTTCGGGGCCATCTCGCTGGCGCTCTTCATCTACTTCATCCTGGCCTTTGTCTTCCGAGGGAGCTCTGCTCCCCTCCCACTGTCTGCGCGTCTTGTGGTTGCCCTGGTGATTCTCCTCAGCACAAGTGTGATTACTGCCTTGCCATGGGTCGTCTTCGGTGGGAAGGAGGCATGTCAGGCCTCCCGGGGAACCTACAAGACTCCCTCGGGCCAAGGCTTTGAGGACCACTGGCTGGAGGTGACCTTGCGCTTGGTCTTTGTGTGGGTCCTTGCCCTTCAAGCAAGTTTTGTGAACTTGGGCGATCATCCGCCGTCGGCTCATGTGAGACAGTCGATCAGATGCATCACTTTCGGGTGGTTCGGTAAACTTCTCAATATCGTCACCCCAATCGTGGACTCTTGCCAAGTTCCACAGTGGACGGAGGAGGGCTTCAGACCAACTGACGCTGAAGAGGTCTACTTCACTGTCTTTGGTATGGCCACGCACTATATCACAGATGTGTGGTTTCTGCAGTTAGTAGTGGACCGGCTTGTTGCTTTTCAGGCCGCGTACGGAGAGAAGTTGCCATGCTCGTTCGTGATTGTGTGGCTGTCGAGGGTCATGATCTTCATGGCTGCCATGCAGCTGTTCAGCGTTGTTTCGCCGGTCGTATCACTGACTGTTGCCATGGTGTTAACCATGGGTGTTTGCACATTGTCCATTCTACATTGTGGAGCTTATATGGTGCCTTACAACGATCTACTGCAAGCGCACAAGGTGGAGATTGCAACGTGCAACGCCCTCTCTGTCGAAATGGAGAAGGAAAGTACCTTTGCCATGCTCGTCATCCGCAAATCGCAGATTGGATTTCTGGTTGGCTGTATAGGCATGGTCGCCGCTTTCCTGACGAATGGCCTTGATTGGTTTATCTTGCCGCGGGCGAAGACGTTGTGGATGATCTATGTGGTGGCCTCCAATGTGGGTTCCTCGGCCATTACCTTCTCTTTCGTGGTGCTGTCTGGTGTGAACTTCAAATGGTGCAACTGCCGCTCCAAGCTTCAGCAGAGGCCGGCTGAGACTGGCGGCACCAGCATGACTCGTGGAGACTTAAGACACTACTCTCAGAAGTCTTGGAGCTTCGACGCCACGACATCTCGCAAGGAGGTACGCGCCTCAGATTGGCAGAAGAAAGTGGCGGACCTGGCCATGAGGCGAATCTCCGTGGAGACGCTGCTGAGGTTTTTTCTTCAGCTGGGCTCGGACGACGCCATGCCGCACTTTGACCCCAAGAGGTCCACCACGAATGATGTGGTCCGGCACGTGGTGATCCCACACTCCCGGGACGGAAGCCTCGGCCGGTCCTTCGCAGAGAAGTTCGGGCCCCAGAAGGCCCTCACCCCGAAGATGGTGACCCACCACTGGTCCAACCGCTTCTGCGACCTGGTTGCGGCGGTCCTGGCCGATGCCCTGGGCTTAAAGCGATGGGATGGGGTCGCGGAGCACCTGAGATCCCCCGGGGGAGGGGAAAGGCTCCAAGAGCAGCTCTATGCCAATGGCACGCTGCAGTCGCAGTATTGGATCTGCGCCTTCTGTATCAACCAGCATGCCAGCATCTGCGGGAGCTCCATGGGCGTCCTGGATACGGTGACTCAAACTGTCTTGCCCAGCTGCGATTGCGCTACAATGAAGTATCTAAACGACCAGCCCGTACAGTGTGAGCTGAACAAGTTTGATGACATGATGGCCTATCTGCATCGTCAGTACCCGAAGTTCCTGCAGGTGGTTGCCATCGACTTCGACTTCATGATCTTTTCGAGAGCCTGGTGTCTTGTGTCATATAGTGGGGGTAACATTTCCACCTTTTCAAGGGTACTTAAAAACACAATAATAAGGAATAGGAATCTAAATCTTTTAATAAACCCTAAACCCTAAACCCCACACCCTAAACCCGAAACCCTAAACCCTAAACTCTAAACCCTAAACCCTAAATCCTAAACCCTCCCAGCCATGAAGCAGGTGTGTGGCCGAGCTGGTGCAGGCCGACGCGAGCCGCTTGGAGCAGCACATGATGATCCACTCGCCCTCGATCTTGGAGAAGAACTCTTCCCGGCTGAGGTCCATTCAGGTGCAGAACCTCAGTTGTAGAGGAGCTAACCTCTAACCCTTTTTTTGGGGTCAGAGAATCCCCTGATAAGCTTGCTTAGTTGTAGAGTAGCTAGCCTTTAACCCCTCTTTGGGGTCAGAGAATCCCCCTGTCATCCCCAAAGGTTGACCTTTAGACCCCCCCCCCTCCTAGGTACCGGACAGCTAAGGAACTGCTCCGCCTCCCGGGAGGAGGACAAGGAGGCCATCCTGGCAAAGATCGGGGCCGATGAGGAGGTGGACAAGTTCAACCAGCGGCTTCAGCACCTCCTCCTGGGCAGTGGAGGTCTGCTGGCCGACTGGCTGGACGGCCAGAAGCTTGCTAGCTGAGTGGCTTTTTACCCTTTTGCCCCTTTTTTTGGGTTTCGGGCTCCCTTATGCAAGTAAACAACAGCCCCAAAAAAAGGGTACCTTGATTGTAATGTTAGGCGACGGGGCTACCAAGGAAGCTCTTGCAGGAAGTGGGTGCCATTGCTGCCAGGGCCAAAGCCCGCGTGGAGGCGTCGCAGCAGAGATCCGTGCCAGGCCTCTTGGAGGTGTGAGTTGATAGTGGGGTTTACGAAAATAGGGGGGCCCTAATTATTAGTATGAATGTTAGTATTCTTAGTATTAATGTGATGATTGTGAGTACTAATATGGGGTTTATGATATTAGGGGTACCCTATTTTGGGTCCTTCTTCTGAGGCGATCCTACTATTTGGGGGGGGTCTATATAAGGTGTCCCTTTATGATCGTACACCCCCATATGTGGCATTTCACCACGGGGCTCTTGCAGATTTCATGCGTTGGAATCGAAGAGCTGTTGACAGGTTCAGGCAAGAGGAGAACCCTGAAAGGGTCCTTCCTTGTCTGTTTTCGCCATGTGCGACACCGGGATCCTTAAAGGATCTTCCATCAACAGCATGCTTTTGCTGCCAGCGCGGTGGTAAAATTTTTCAAAAATCCACGCCCGGTGGCTTTCGTGCTTTCGCTGTCTTCGCTCATCATCAGGTAAACACACGATTTCTCTTACACATGTATCTGTATATCATAAGTATATATATATATATGTATATGTATATACATATATATACATATATATACATATATATAGATACATATATATATATATTATTCATATGTGTACACACATGCGCTTGCTTCCTCAATCTCAATATCCTCGCTGATACCGCTGACTCGCGGCCTTCCTGGCGGATTCAATTCGTACTCGCGGTGGTCTCAGGATGGAAGCTTACGCCCGAAGGTTTAGGGTTTAGGGTTTAGGGTTTAGGGTTTAGGGTTTAGGGTTCAGGGATCAGGGTTTGGGGTTTGGGGTTTGGGGTTTGGGGTTCAGGTTGCCCTTTGTCTAAGCAAGATGAGGCCTCTCTTTTGAGCCGCCGTAGTCCGGAACCGCGAACTTTGGGCAGGATAAAGGATGTTCTTGAAGAAGTCATTCTGTGCATGCTCTAAACCCTATAAACCTCTACAAACCCTATAAACCCTACAAAACTCGTAAGCCCTATAAACCCTATGCAGACCTCGACTCGGCGCGAAAGTCAATGTAACGAACTCTGATTCGCATTCTTCGCCATATTCTTGTTCTATTTTGCGCTCCAGCTGATGGTGGTGAGTTGTGATGAAACCATCAGTCCCTACGCCTCAGCCCACAAATGCTAAGTCCCCGAGAAATCCTGACCGAAAGTAGCAGTTGTCATGTGCAGACCGTGCGTAGCAGACTTGATGGCAGTGCCCGGCCGAATGAGATTAGGGTTTCGGAGTTGAGGGTTTGGGTTTTGCAAGTAGGGCTTTGGCGTGCTCCTCCACATCTTGAGGCTTGCAGGCAAACATACAACAAGGGAGCAAAAGGCGCGACATGAGTCTTGCCGCCTTGCTACGTCCTGGGAAGTTCTTTGCTAGGATCTGCGCTTGGGAAGTGAAGTAGGATGTGTTGACCTGGAGTAGACACTGGAGAACGAGCACGGCGCATCCAATCACAGTATCTTTCCACGCACCCACCCCGACAGGCAAACAGGTTAGAAGTTTCCCGTCGGCTGGCATGCTTGTGGTCCCCATTGTGAGGCCCTCCCTCAAGTTGACAAGGGCCACGAGCCCCCGCAGGGGCCAGCACCGGAGTCCCAGCACAGCTTCAGCCTTTGCCGCCTTTGCCGGCGCTTGGCGGGCTTCGGCTGCTATCCTGAGACCGTGCCGCAGGCCTCTTCTCCTTCAACGGCGGGCGCAGCGCGAGCACGCGCAGCAAACGCGGCCAAGGGAGCAGTCCGAGGCGCTGGTCTATCCCACTCGGATTTCCGAGGTGACGCCGCACCCCACGAGCAACGGCCGCTTCGAGCTGGCCATAGTCCCGGACCCGACCTTCCCAGACTTTCCCGACTGCCAGCTTTCCATCGTGGTGCGGGCGGGAGACTTCGCCCCGGGAGATCGTGGCTTCCTCGTTGTGGTCGGGGCTCAGGTTCCGGAGGACCTCAGCAAGGCTTCGGGCTGGGATGGCCTGCTTGCAGAGAGCGGCTACGTGGTGAAGCCCACCTTCTTTGGCCGGCGCTACTTGTCAAATGGCCTGCTGTTGCAGAGTTCTGTGGTTCAGGATTTTGTGTGTGAAGACGCCCTGCCAGATTCCTTGCTTGATCCAGGGCACTTGACGAAAGCCCTGAGAGTGGAAGGTCCTCCAACTCCCTTCCGCTCCCAAAGTTTCCTGCTCGAAGTCGGCTTCGATGGGTCGGGCTACTATGGCTCCCAGAGCACAGGTTCTGAAGAGGCGCGCCCGACAGTTCTTGGTCAAGTCATGCAAAGCGCCGACAGGCTTGGCTGGGTCTCTGGGCAGGATCCCCGAACCAGTCGCAGTCACTGGGTCTGCCTGAGCCGCGTGGATGCTGGGGTCAGTGCTCGCAGCTTCCTGCTGACAACGCCCCCTCTGATAAATCCGCTGACACAGACGCTGCCCAGCCCTGAAGAGACGGCCCGTGCGCTGTCGCAGGAGCTTCCGTCGAACATACAAGTGCATCGGGCGGTTCTGAAGCCACGCGGGGAGGAGATCCATCACACCCAGGATATCAGCAGAGAGTACGGGTATTTTTTCCCGCTGGACTTGCTTCAGGGCAATATCAACGGTCTTCAAGAGATCTTGCAGGATTTCGTTGGTGATCTTTGCTTCGCCAACTTTACAGAATTGAAGAAGTTGGAAGGGCTGAAGAAGAAAATTCAACGAAGTTTGCAGCTCCAATCGTGGGCTCATGGTCTTCAGAGTTGGAAGCGGAGTCGCAGAGACGCGAACTACAGCACATCATCAACTTCAACCTTGCGCGTGCACCATGCAATGCAAGCAGCATGCGCGCGAACCATAACAAGGCTTAATGTCGAGAAGGTCCCTGATACCAAGTTGGCTTGCATCTGCGTGCAGGGCAATGGCTTTTTATACAATATGGTGCGGTACATTGCTGGCTCCGCTTTGTCTGTTCATTCCGGGAGGCTTTCTGCAAGCACCCTGCAAACTGCTTTATCGGCACTCGTAGCCGTGGATCTTTCTGAACATCTGGCGCCGGCAAGGGGCCTCGTACTCTTGCGCCAGAACGCACCGGCAGGCTGGATCTCACAAGATGCCCTACAGGCGGAAATTTCTGCAGACAGGTTCATGAAACAGCAACTCTTGCCAGCGATTGAGGAGGCCTGGAACTCGGAGGCATCGCGTGGATGGGCATCCGGCGGTTGAGACACCTCCTTCGTCCAGTTCTTGAAAGACGGTGCAGCCCTGGGATGGGTCCTTAATTTTGGGGCCGCTGGGCGGTGGCTGCTTTCTTGCATGGCAAGAGGTGCGCAATCGCGGGGTTCGTGCTTGTGCCAGAACATGCTGCCCTCAGAGGAGTTCACTGCGTTTGGAGGAGGCCAGAGTGGCTCGACTCTTGGTGGACATGCGATGCTCACGAGGGTTCCTTGACATTCCGCGCGTCTGTCTTCGCCACGTGCGAGACCGGGATCCTCAAAAAGGCTCTTTCAAACGAGCATGTTTCTGGCAGCGCCAGGGCCTCTAAATGAGGTTGGTGGATGCATCGGGATAGTGACGGCACAGGAAAGTTGAAGTAGATTGCAAATACCACAGCAGGCCCCAGCACGCGTGGACGTCATGCGAGTAGCCTGAGGGATCACCTACTGCACAAAGTCAGCAGAACGTTTTGTGCATGCATGAGGTTCAAACCATACCTAATCCATGTGGCCTGTCAGAACAGCCTTCTTCAAAGCTCTTTCGACATGTCACGTAACCTCGACTCTAGGCATTTGACCAGTGAGCTGCCTCGTCATGTAAGCCGTAAGTCAGATCAGTTCGTCTTTGGCCTGAGACATGAATCTACTTGCCACGCCGCATGGCTTCCTTCCTGCATGAAGGCGACGGTGACTCTGTTGTTTGGGTTCGGGACAGGTAGGACAACTGAAGCGACTACTGTTGTCCAGGTATCAGCATCGCGTAGTCGGTAAGGCTTCAGCCGATTTCACAAGTTTCATGCGAGTCAAGCCTATCTGGCATGTGCTGCCAGATAGGAACAGAGGTGTGTTGAAAAGTTGTCTCAAGTAGCTCAAACGTACCTCAGCTTACGAGTCCTGAGTGTCGATGCGGAGGTTTCTTTCCGTTTGTGCCTACTGGAGGTCAGCACTTTCGACCCTCGCGCGCATGCAGAAGTGCAGTATGTGGGCTCCGACGGCCTCTACCGACAGGCCACTGTGAGCTTTCGCCCCCAAAGTGCCAACAGAATGTGAACTTTGTGTGGACTTTTCAGGCTGCCCCATGCCGATGAGAGCAAACGTGAAAATAGGGCGCATGTACGGTGCGTGTAGCATGCAAGTTGCCTTGGCGGGTAAACCGCCTAAGTCTGCGATGTGGGCGGCATGCATGCTGAGGACTCACACACACCTGGACATGTCCGATGCGCAGGTCCCACAAGCAACACAGGCCGCCGCCGCCAGGCGCTTGGCAGCGGCGACTGCTGCCACTACCGCTGCCAGGCGCAAGGGGAGGTTTGGGGTTTGGGGTTTGGG